AGTATATGTAAAAACCATTCATCCCAGACTTGACCTAAAATGCTGACGGGGTTAAAGAAAAAATGTTAGAATTTCTTTTATTTTCTGTCTGATGTTTTTTGCAGGGGAGAAAACGAAAAGAAGTGTTTGCTATAAGTCACACAGTTAGTTCCCATAGGAATTCCGAAAATTTGATGATCTGATAATAATAGCTAACAAAAATAAGCAAGAAATATAAAATCATGTCTGATCATGTCCACGAACAAAGATTTTTATATCTAAAGAAAGACATGTGATTACTTCAAAAGATGAAATCAAGACCTGAATTATCAAAAGCTAATTCAATTTGTTTACCAAGTTTATTTTTTAACAGATGATGTGAAAGTGTAGCTAAAAAGAAAAATCAAAACTACACCAAAACAAATAATTACTATGTGAATTAAAATTAAAAATGACTTTTTCTAAGATTTCATCAGAATATGTTTAAATGAATGGAATATCGAACTTCTATGTACGATGGACATAATTGCAATATTAAATAATAAATTTGTTAATGGGAGTATGTGAACTTGTTAGAAAAACAGATTATTTAGTAGTGGTACAAGCTGGTATAAAGAGGGATATATAAGTGTTGTGTAACTTGAGCTACCAGTATAGTAATTCTATATACTTCTTATTATACTTCAGAATCTGATAAAATCCGATAAACTTAACATTGATCTATGAACCAGAAAACCGAGGTCAAGGTCAGATAAATATTGTTTTGTGGACATGATATTTACATTTTGTTCTTTTGTTGTGCTGTTAAATTAGTGTCCCTTATTAGAAGGGTTGAGCGCTCGCATCTTCAACCTTGCCACATTTTTTATGTGCCTGTACTAAGTCAGGCGACAGTGAGGCATTTGTTGTCATTGGTTGCTGTCTGGCATACCTGTTTTTCGTTTACGTCATAAATAAGATCGTTGGTTTTCTCATTTGAATTCACTCTTTTTATGTCGGGGTATTTTTTAGCTGTCAGTAAATGCGAGTACTCTCAGATCTGTACTTAGTGTCTTTTCGTTTTTGGGATGTAGAAGTACCCGTCCACGTCCACTCTGTGTTATTGCTAGATGTATTTCTATTTGTATCCATCTGATGAGTTAAGCCTTTTTCAACTGATTTTTATGGTTTGTTCTTAATGTGTACTGTTACACCACTGTCCCAGGTTAGGGGAAGGGTTGAGCGCTCACAAACATGTTTAACCCCGCCACATTCTTTATGTGCCTGTCCCAAGTCAGGAGCCTGTAGTTCAGTGGTTGTCGTTGGTTCATGTCTGTCATATTTTTTTTTTCGTTAATTGGTTTGTTATAAATTAGGCCGTTAGTTTTCTCAATTGAATTGTTTCATATTTTTCATGTCGGGGCCTTTTATAGCCGACCATACGGTATGGGTTTTTCTCTTTGTTGAAGGCCGTACGGTTGCCTATAATTGCTTACGTCAACTTCACTTGAACTTTGGTGGTTAGTTGTCTCATTGGCAATCATACCACATCTCCTTATTTTTATATACAGTATGGTTTTAAGTCATTGTTAAAGTCCATGGGATGACCTAGAGTTACTTACATTCACGGTATTTGGTCACTGGTTAATAGTTGTCCTAATGGCCATCATATCAAATTCCTTTATTTTTATAATGTACACCTTTTCTCAATAATTTTATAGGTCAAATATAACTGAATCATTTCTTAAATTACTTGAGTAAGACAAATTATCATGAAAACTCAAATTTGATCAATTATCAACAAAATAGAAGGATACTCTAGCAAACAGACATGTTCCTTTCACAATGAATAAATGGACCAAATACAACTTCCTTGTAATCTATAGTATTCGAGAAAATTACTTATTAGGAAAACTTTACGTTGATAGAGGAACCATGAAAAAGAGTCCAAGGTTAAATAAACCCTGTCAGTTAGGGATGTACAATTTACAACAATTGCATGGACAAAGCGTTGTACATCTATTACTTACGGGACTTGAGAAACTGACTTATTCAAGAAAATATCCTGTTCATCGGTGAACCCTGTCAAATAAACATAAAGTTTTCAGTGTTCCCTAGACACACAGTAATTAATTGGTCACCGAAAGCAAGAAACTCTCATATCCAGAAAAAATAGTGTATATCACAAAGCCATAAAATTACTTCAAAGTCAAGACAATCCTGTATTATGGACATGCATAGCATACTACATGTATATGGCACTGGTTATGCTCACAGCTGTTCGTATCATTGTCCTTAGGTCTTTGGTGAGTAGATGTCTAAATGGAAATCATAAGAAATGTCCTTATGTTCATATACATGTAAACATATGAACATCGTACAAAGATATCATAGACCAAATATATACAAACTCAAAATCCTAAGGAGTTTTAATCTATCCAGTCGCTGAACATAAGGAAAAGACAACGAACATATGCTACATCAAATGGATAAAGAATAACATGGTCTTCTTATTTACCAATGATAAAGCTTTATACAAACAGTTTACACTGTTTTATATTCCTATGGCTTGCATTCTGAGACATTCGTTTCAGGCAAGTTAATAATAATATATCAATAATCATAACAATACACCGAGGGATCTTTGATCCTCCGGAAGGACAAGCAGCTCTTTGTCCACATTAAAACTGCCATGTTCATGAAAGTTTATAAGTCCATTGGTTGTATTTGTCAACTCATACTTCATCTGTTACATTATATAAGTCAAAAGGAAATCACAGTCAATCAGCAACTTCTTACTACACTAATATAGTCTAAAATCAGCTATTTATATGACTATATTCACAGGCTTGCATGAATGATTACTTTTTAACTATTGAATTATTGGCCACTTTTAATCAACTATTTTATTTTTGAAAAGGTGGAGCTCATGTTTGCTGGCAGTTGGGTCATCTGCCACAGTTTAAGAGAATCCCAAAAATATCATTTCATGTAAATAAAGGCAACAGTAGTATACCGCTGTTCGAAACTCATATATCGAAAGAGATAAAAACAAATCCGGGTTAGCATTTGGTCCTTTATTACAATTTTTACAATTTTCTATGACTGTTTATACCAACTTCGACCGTGCAAGACTCTCATGGGTAGTCAAGGTCGTTAAAAAAAACCCTCGTCGTTGTCATCTGCATATGGGATATACATTTCACAACTCATTCGGTATTCAAGAGCTTGCAGCTGCTACTCAGACTTTACAAAACGTCACCAGTGTCTGAGCAGAAAGTTGATGACCAAGAGTTATGTCAAAGAACGTCTCGTCCTTTTTCTAAAAAAAAGTTCATTGGACGATACCAAGACCTTGTTGATAAATATTCCGTTTCATCAACTTTACAAATAATACATTATGGTCTTGAAGTATAGATTCTAGGTACTGACATTGTTTATTATCCTAATTGCGTGTTATAGTGTTCTTTTATTTGTCTTTGTAAATTATTAACCTTTACTGTCTATAGAAATAAGAAGATGTGCTATGAGTGCCCATGAGACAACTCTCCATCCAAGTCATAATGTGTAAAAAGTAAACAGTTATAGGTCAAAATATGGCTTTCAACACGGAGCCTTGTCTCACACCGAACAGCAAGCTATAAAGGGCCCCAAAATGACTAGTGTAAAACAATTCAAACTAGAAAACCAACGGTCTAATCTATATAAAAAAAACGAGAAACGAGAAACACTTATGAACCACATCAACAAACGACAACCACTGAACAGGCTCCTGACTTAGGACAGGTGCATACAAATGCAGCGGGTTTAAACGTTTTAACAGGCGCCAACCTTCACCCTAACCTGAAACAGTAGTGTTACATTACAACATAAATAAGAGTCAATTTTTGGTAATATCCTTTTGGCATGGCTTGGTACTTATAAATCCCGCCATTGTGTTGTGCTATGGTCATTTTTGGTATTCTTGTCATTCATTTTTGCTTATGTGCTTTGTCTTTATGCGATTTTGATTTTCTTTGTTGACATATTTGTTTGTTTTATAGTGATTAAGGTTATAAGACAATGTTGACTGCTGCAATCCTGTTTTTTGACATTTATTCCAATTAATATATCTCTTGGTTATGTTCACACATTGTTGTCAATATAATGGAATTATATGCGACTGTAATACAAGTGAGATGTTTAGCTAGCTATAAAACCAGGTTTAATCCACCATTTCCTACATAAGGAAATGCCTGTACCAAGTCAGGAATATGACAGTTGTTTTCCATTCTTTTGATGTGTTTGAGCTTTTGATTTTGCCAATTGCTAAGGGACTTTCCGTTTTGAATTTTCCTTGGAGTTCAATATTTTTGTTGTTTTCCTTTTTTGGTTGATTTTATTCTTGTTTTATTTTCAATAACAGTAGTAATGTTGGTTTGTGGAAAGGGTCACCAGAAATAATTGTTGAAGACCCATCTTAGATGATATAGGCCAAGTTTGTTTTATGTTGGTCCACTGATTTTAGAGAAGCAGCTTTAAAAAAATACTACAAAAATGCCGAGTGAAGGTCATATAAAAATAATAAGATGTGATATAATTGCCAATGAGACAACTCTTCACCAGAGACCAAATGACATAGAAGTTAACAACTATAGGTCACTGTATAGCTTTCAACAATGAGCAAAACCCATATCGCATAGTAAGTATAAAAGGCCCCAAAGTAAAAATATACAACTATTCAAACGAGAAAACTAACAGCTTGATTCATGTACAAAACAATAAACGAAAAACAATCATGATACTGTAAACCAACTTATTTTCGCGGATACTTTATTTAGCGTTAAGCCATTTCTAGTCCACTTTGCAGCGATTTAAATTTACTTGATGTAGTTAAATAAGGAAAGATCCAAGTTTGACATGTTCGTGACGATTTATATTCGCGTTATTTTTCTACTTGCGAAAGTCACGAAAATAAATCGCTCGCGATAATTAGTTGGTTTACAGTATACAGTTCTTTCCTTTTTGGACTGATAAGCTATGACATTGATAATAATAATATATTAGAGACATGATAGTTTAATATATGAAATAGCATTAAATTATAAAATATTGCACATCAAAACGAGAAACAAATAAAGTAAATTAAATTAATCATTACCCATGAATAATTTGACATTGAAATAGTTTGTATAATTGTCTTTATGGATATATGCATCAGTCATAGAACAAAAATTATATGTCTTCATGAATAGAACAAAAATCTTGATGTGTTTGGTTATTGCAAACTGATGAAGTTCTTCTCTTAATTAAAGTTCTTGCATAGAACCTGCTGGTTCATTTCCTCCAATACTGAAAAATAAAATAAAAGTTATTATGAAATAGATTAATTATGATATTTATCTTTGATGTTTTTGCAATCATTATTTTGTTTCATGTCTTGCATGAATAAAACAAATGTATTATTTGAATTCAGAATTAAAGACATTTAGTGATCAAGTTTACATACCAAACCCAACTACCCTAGATATAAAAGGAAAGAGTTTATAGTAAACTGCTGGCATACCTGGCATACGTGTTTCTATTTACATTTTTAATATGATTTGTCATACTGTAATATTTTCTAGTAAAAATATATTTTAGTTATTAAGACCTTGACATTAGACATAGTGACTTCAAAATCTAATAGGTTAATCTATTATTGATCTATCATTATAAATGACCATATTTCCAAATAAGGTTGCAATACAAAAAAAAAGTTTGATTTATCATCTGGAAACTCTTCTGTACGAATTTTAGTCTATTTTTAATACCTATGACCTTGACCTTGACCTTGACCTGCAATGTAGTGGTCTTAATCGGGATAGGTGACCAAATAGTCTAGAAGGTTTGCAATTGAGATATAAGTCATTTGGTAAGAATCTGGAAACCACTTTCCTGTACAAATTTTGGTCTATTATTATTAACCTTGACTTTTTCTTTGATCTTAGACATGGACCAAAAAATCAATATGATTTTTCCTCTCATTATATGTGACCAAATGGTCAAGAAAGAATGCAATCATATATATACGAAAACCATTTTCCTGCACAAATTTCTGTCAATTTTAGTAACCAAAATGACTGATGGACTGACTTACAGATAAATGGGCCAACTTCAAAATATCTATAACAAGGGGTATAATAAATATAGGCCATAATTATTTCTCATTGTGAGTGTATCACAAAATGCCAGCAATGCCGTAATGTGTCATGTGGTGAATTGATAAAGTCTACTCATAGGAACAGTGAAATAATATAATATCTGTTTTTAACAGACCACACGCATATTGATTAATTTCTAGTGTTCTTGTAGCCTATGTCATTGAGTCAAATTTGTTTTGCTTTACAACATTTTTATGTCATAATGGATAGGTAACAACTGGAACTTTAAAAGCTTTTTTATTTTTATGATGATCTGATTGTATTTACTGCTCATTAAAATTATCAATTACTTTGACTATTGCATGGACTAATTTTCTTATCTTTAGGACACATTGGACATGATCATGACTCATGTTGGAGCAAAAATGGTAGTTAACCATGAAATTAATGAATCCGCAGCTAGTAGATGGGTCAATATCCCTAATGCGCCTCAACTTGAGGAACATAGAAGTTGTGCGTAAACAATAAATCTCTGCGTAGTGATATTGGACATGTTTCTATTTTTAACAAGTGACTGAGCTTAACCATGTGTGTTGATTTGAAAAGTAGAGGACCATAGAATAAATGTGTAAAAACTATGGAGTTATTAAATGTATGCAAAGTATTAAATTTTCAAAGAACTTATTGAGTGAAAAAAGAGATTTTTTACCACCAGGAGCCGCATCACGAAAGGATTTTCGGGGTGTGCTAATCTATGGAAAAATGAATCACACTTCGTACCCCGAAACTTTAACCACAAATGTGAAAATGTCTCAGCTTCAAAATGAGCCATCATGCATATCCAGGTTTACGATATGGACTGTGCTACAGAGGAAAACATTACCATTACCGCCTATGGAAAAGCAATTACGCATATTGCCCCAGATGTCCTCTTTTGTGTGGTCCAGATGTAATTATTCTGAACTTAAGAGATGGAATGAATAAATGCTAAATACATAATAACTTTAGGTTTTGATGACTATTAAAAGTACCTTTTTGATCACAAAGAAGGTATACAAATCTACATTTTACTGTTGCATTAAGAATCTTTTTGATCACAAGGCATTTTTTGTTGCCGTTCATATCATATTCCGTATAAACACAATGTGTTATTTAGGGATAACATTCAATCATATATATAACTACGAAAAAATTACTTTAAGTTTGATACTCGTTAAACTTTTATTATTCAGTTTCATTGTACCTACCTGGGCCATTTTATGCAGATTCTCAAACACAGCAGCCATCATAGCAGTTACACTGATTTCAATCAAATTTTGCATGTAGTGTACAGCTTCTTCATCATTCAAATGGAGTACAAATTTATCTTGTACCTGATAAATTGATAACATCAAGTAATTAATGTAGTAAATTATTTGCAACAAACTTTCATGAAAACAAGGGGAACATTTTCCAGAAAAACGTGAAAAATTAAGTAAAAAATTAGCAAGAACAACATCTCAACAATCAAAGAACCCTAAGAATTAAATTTTGTTATGGACACAACATTCAAGCTTGATACAGCTCTGAATTTGGATTGTGATTAAATATTTGACACAGCATAGGTTTCTGACACAGAATGAATGTGGTCTAAGAACTTAAAAATTTTAAATTGGACATTCACCTATTATGGTCCAATATCCAAAATCTAAATACATGGTTAGATTCAGCATATCAAAGAACCCCAAGAATTCAATTTTTGATGAAATCAAACAAAGTTTAATGTTGGACCCTTTTGACCTCAATGTGGACAAAGTTGATAACGGGGCCCAAAAATCAAAAATCTAAATACATGGTTATATTCAGCATATCAACGAACCCCATATATTCAATTTTTGTTGAAATCAAACAAAGTTTAATTTTGGACCCCGATTTGGACCAACTTGAAAACTTGGCCCATAATCAAAAATATAAATACATGTTTAGATTCAGCATATCAAAGAACCCTAAGAATAAAATTTTTGTTAAAATCAAACAAAGTTTAATTTTGGACCCTTTGGACCTTAATGTAGACCAATTTGAAAAAGGAACCAAAAATTAAGAATCTAAATACACGGTTAGATTCGGCATATCAAAGAACCCCAATAATTCAATTTTTGATGAAATCAAACAAAGTTTAATTCTGGACCATTATGACCTCAATGTGGACCAATTTAAAAACGGGGCCCAAAATCCAAAAACTTAATACACGGTTAGATTCAGCATATTAAAGAACCCCAAGAATTCAAGAATAAAACCCCATTGAAATTGGTCAAGAAATAAGCAATTTATACAAAGTATCTTCTTTTGCACAATACTGTGCAATTGAATATTTCTTGCTATTGCGCAATACTGTACAATTGACAATTTCTTGCTATTGCGCAATATTGTGCTATTGGATATTTCCTGCTATTGCGCAATACTGTGCAATTGAAGATTTCTTGCTATTGCGCAATACTGAGCAATTGAAGATTTCTTGCTATTGTGCAATACTGTGCAATTGAAAATTTCTTGCTATTGCACAATACTTATTATATAATAATTTACACATCCTGTTTGGTGTGTATCTCCTACCATATCATTATTGTTTGCTTTTAAATATAAATCAGAAATAACCAACTTAAAATAGAAAATTTAAAAAAAAAAAAAAAAGGAAAAAAAAAAAAAATCCCCCCCCCCCCAAATTTTTTGAACCCTTTTATGATTCATCACCCCAAACTCAATCCCAGCCTTCCCTTTGTGGTATGGTACCTTGCAGTACAATTTCAGAGAGATCCATACACTTGAACACAAGTTATTGTTTGGAAACTAGAAAAATGTGTTTTTTGGCCCCTTTTTGGCCCCAAATTCCTAAACGTTTAAGGCAATTACCCCAAAACTCACACCTAGCTTTCCCTTTATGATATGGAACCTTGTAGTACAATTTCAGAAAGATCTATACACTTACACACAAGTAATTGTCCTGAAACTAGAAAAATGCTTGTTTTTTGCCCCTTTTTGGCCCCTAATTCCTAAAATATTGAGGCAATTACCCCCATCATCAATCCCAGCCTTCCCTTTGTGGTATGGTACCTTGCAGTACAATTTCAGAGAGATCCATACACTTGAACACAAGTTATTGTCTGGAAACTAGAAAAATGCTTATTTTTGGCCCCTTTTTGGCCCCCAATTCCTAAACGTTTTGGGCAATTACCCCCAAACTCAATTCCAGCTTTCTCTTTGTGATATGGAACCTTGTAGTACAATTTCAGAAATATCCAAACACTTACACACAAGTTATTGTCATGAAACTAGAAAAATACTTGTTTTTTGGCCCCCAATTCCTAAAATTTTGAGGCAATTACCCCCAAATCAATCCCAGCATTCCCTTTGTGATATGGAACCTTGTGGTACAATGTCAGAGAGATCCATACACTTTCACACAAGTTATTGTCTGGAAGTTACAAAAATGCTTATTTTTGGCCCCTTTTTGGCCCTAATTCCTTAACTGTTGGTACCATAACCCCCAAAATCAATCCCAACCTTCCTTTTGTGGTATTGAACCTTATGGTAAAATTTCATAGAGATCTATTCACTTAAACTAAAGTTATTGTGCGAAAAAACTAATGTGTCTTCGGACGACGATGACGCCAACGTCATACCAATATACGACCACCAAATTTTGCGGTCGTATAAAAATGTGCTTCGTCGAGCGCAGCTGGATATGACTGCAGAGGTCCAACCCTGAGCAGTTGGGGCAAAAATGGACACAATATTCAAGCTTGATACAGGTCTGAATTTGGATTGTAATTAAAAATTTGACACATTATAGGTTTCTGACACAGAATAAATGTAGTCATAGAACTTGAAATTGGTTATATGATTTGAATTTATATTCAATTGAAGATTTCTTGCTTTTGTGCAATACACTGTGCTGTTGCACAATACTGAGTAAATCTGTTTTCAGACTATATACAAAGAATTAGCAAAATAAATTGTGACCCCCCATTTTTTTTGGGGGGAAAATTGATAATTTCTTAAATCTTTTTTTACCCCCCCCCCTAATTCCTAAAGGGTTGTGACCATCACACCCAAAAACAATCCCAACCTTCCTTTTGTGGTTTTGAACCTTTTGCTAAAATTTCATAGAGATCCATACACTTAAACTAAAGCGACGACAACGTGATAGCAATATACGAACGCAATTTTTTTGCGGTTGTATAAAAATCACATGTTTCAAAGTATGTACATTGGACTGTCAAATGGAGAAAGGCAGCCACAGCATCTCTAGCAATCAACTAATCAAATGATTCAAGTATCTTTGTAAACAAAATGCCATTACCTTTTTCACAGTTTTATCAGGCTCTAATGCGATATCAGGAATGCTGGCATCTACAACCAGGGCAAACAAGTTCAATATCAAATTGGCAGACCTGTAAATATACAGCAAAAATACATCAGCATAACAATTTGGCTAAAAATTTTTTTAAAGATCGACAAAAATCTATATATTTCAGATCTAATTGATAATGATATTTTAATTTATATTGTATCCTTATGGAACCATATCAATGCTCATTTGTAAATAAGGTTCAAAAGCTCACTTATACATTTTCCTTTCAAGATAGCCATTTAAGGCCAACAATTGAGAAGTTTATTTGACATATAAGACAGTGTATGCTTCCTTGTCTTATCTAGATAAATGTTATCTAATACAAGAGTAACCACTACAAAAACAATTAATTCTTGCAAAATATTTAGAGTAGACATTAACCCTTTCAACGCTATACAAGGCATATGCCGCGATGACGTATGCCGCCCACCACTGCTGTTCGCGGCATATGTCGCGATTACGATGGATTTTTCATCCAGACTCTTAACCATTCAGTTTTCATTCGGGTCCTCTCTAATTTTTGCTCGTATAAATCGAGGATATACAAGGTCCCTTTTGCGCTTGAAATCGTGGGAATTTTAATGGTAAAAGCATGCAGTAGAAGAAAAGTTTAAAAAAATATTTTGACAAATGCAAATGGCGGAAATCGAAAAAGACGCTGTAAATATGGAAATATTTCAGCATTTCTATGGTGAAACTGAAAACGAGGAATAGTTAAAAGGTTTCCCGTTATCTCAATGTGTTAATTACATTCAATTCGTGTGGGAAATATGATTTGATTGATCTTTTCGAGACGTAGAAAAAGTGGGGGAAACAGAGGTTGACTGAAAATTTGAGGACGGAGCCACTTATTTGCGCCACGTTTACATTATACATTTTGTATGGTGCAAATACGCTACGGAATCGAGCAACTGGTGTCTTCTTTATTATATGGCAGATATAACAACAAAATAAATGAAGATTAAAAGTTGTTTTTATTCAAAATTCAACACAAATACAATAATTTACACCTTTTACCTGTTAATTACATGAAAATGCAGGTAGCTTGATGAAAATTTTACTAAAATAATTGCATAACATTACAGTTCATGCTCTCCTGAGCATTTTTCATGCACTAACTTTGTCTGTATCTCTAATAATAAAAAAGATACAGCAGTCTGAAAAGGAATTTACTGTTCTAATGAATGAACACAAAAAAAAATGCAGCAGCAGCAGCCATTTTTCTATTTTTTTGTGTAGCGTTGAAAGGGTTAAAGGAGTCTCAGAAGCAGCCTCCCAATTCAAAAGTTTGAAATAAAAATGATAAAAATACTTGCATTTTAAAACATTAGTCTAATTGTACAATAAAAGGAAGAAATACCTAGTTTAAATCAACGTAAATATTTCCCCTGACATAATATACAAGTGGTTTTTTTTCAACTTTTGATGGAAAAACACTCAGATAGATACAGAACATTTTGAATCTAAAAGGAACCAGAAAGTCAGAATAAATCCAAGTCCAGTCATTGAATAAATGGAACCTGTTTATATATGACATACAGACCTTCTAAAATTCAAACTGACCACACGCACGATACACGCACGCACGATACACGCACGGTGAATGCACGATACACGCACGGTGAATGCACGATACACGATACACGCACGATGAGCGATGAGCGTTACACGGAGGATTAACGAAAAATGAATGATGAATGATGAACGCACGATACACGCACGATGCACGATGAATGATGAACACACGATACACGCACGATACACGCACGGTGAATGATTCATTGACGAATGAACGATAAATTAATTGTAGCATAGTATTTCTAATATCAATGAGTGTTGTCAAATTATAAAACTCATCGATTTTATAATTCTACTTAATATAAATAATTTATAAATTGCTACGTTTTAAAGAGATGCGATTCCAGCCATTTTTAAAAAGAGGGTTCTCAACCCAGGATAAAAGGGGTGGTTTTAACCATATGTCCCCATTCAAATGCATTGACCCCCCCCCCCCCCCCCCCCCAACCCCACCCCCTTCTTTTTATCTGCCTAAATTTGTAACCTTAACTAATTAATTATCATATGTTTACGTTCCGGAATTTAGGAAATATTTGTATGTTTCGAAGTTTAGTATGATGTCCATTATCACTGAACTAAAATTCATTTTTGTTTAGGGACCAGCTGAAAAACGCCTTCGGTGCGGGATTTTCTACCCATTGGTGGCCTTCGACTGTTTTCTGCCTTTACGTCTAAACACTGCTAAGGACTTATAATATGCCACTAAGGACTAGAAAGGACGTGTTACTTGTACTCTGTTTTCATACTATGGTAGAGATAGATAGATTTTTATAACAATTTTTAAAGAAAAAGAATCACCATTAAATGAGTAGTTGAACAATATTTGGAACGTGCCGGTTTTTCTTGATATTGCCGAAAATCAGTGATCCGACAGACACGAGCGAACTTACATTACAACTGATTAAACAATCATAATCTCTTTTTTTTTTTTTACTTAAGTTACAATGTTCCTTATATTATCAGAATCGTATGAGTTAATTTAGAGCAAAATATATAATTTGTCAGAAAAATCTGATTCGTACAAATTAATTAGAAATAGCTAAGAAAATGAAATTTACCAAATAATGAGAAAATTTAAACATTTGTAATACCAAATACTTCATAATATACTTCTGAAACGACTTTTCGTCCTGAATATGCATGAAATTTTTGCCACTGGACGTTTAAACAACCACTGAATAATCAATCAATCAAATTTTGCTCTCAGTAAAAATACATTAAACAAAATAAGCCACAATTGTATCCATCACTTGGTGTCTGCTGTTTGTTTGTACAGTAAACATACTGAATCTTTTTATATTCCTTATACAATTTAAAGTATGTAATAAAATTCATACATATTTCAAACATCCTGGCACTTCAAATTTCTAGGAGGTGAGATTCTCGGGGTTTTACCTGAAACTCTTTGGGAAATGCAATTTTTAATTCCAATTCCAATTCCAAACTGTAAAAGATATCCCAAGGTTTTTTAAAATGCATTTCTAATTTGATAAGGAGATTTGAAAAAAAAAAACGATCTCAATGGTAGTTGAAATTATTCAGTGCAATCATTTTGTGTCCGCCGTTGTCTTTCATACATATCAATTGGTGTATCCACTGTTTGCTGTTCGTTATCTGTTGTTTATGGCAGTCAGGCCTCGCGATCGGTCTCCAAATTTAAGCCCCCACTTAGGTAAATTAATGAGCACTTATAGGGGGGGGGGGCTTTTTTCTCGGGACAAACATTATTTTCCTTCCTTAAAAACACTTTACAATTTTCTATATTTTTCATTTAATCATAAACCGATGAATATTAAATGATTTTTAAAAAATTAAAAAAATATTTTTATTCTAATATATCTAAATATCTGGGTTATTTTCTTATCCAAATAATTATTTTTTCATTTTTTTTAAGGAAAAAGTGTTATCAGTTATGGCCCCCTCATTTTAGACCTGACATTTTGCTTGATACTGTATGAAGATTATTCGTTGCAACTTTAATGAAGAAATTACCGACTTTTTTTTAACTAGATAAATATACAACAAAAATACCGTTTTTTCTTCTTGTATCAATTTCTTTTCACAAAAATTAAATATTAACAAATGTAGAGCCCAATTTTGTAACGAAGATATTCCTAATCTCTTTACCGAAATCCGCATATCTTCTTTATCTTTTGAAACAAAAAAGTTAAGGATGTCTGTTCAAAGGACAAAAATGTCCAAGAAACCGAAATGTTATAAGTAATAGTCGAATAATTCAAACCCATTTGTCTTTTAAATTTAGCACATGAAGATATAATTTTTATTACATATACAAAATGATTTTGTAAAAATTAGCTTGTATATATGTGAACTTTTGTAAAAAAAATCACTGTGGTTCTAAAACTGTATCACATGCCCATAATTGTCCTAAAGCTAAATGTCATCGTCAGATAATGAGGGTCTGAATAGGGATTCATTATTTCTGTATTCTATCATTTTAGGCAATTTTTTCTAATCGTTATACCTTTTGTCGATCATTCTTTATTCCATATATTCTTGTACCTCATCATTTTCTTTTCTATATATTTGTCTGGTTATTTTTTGTATTCTTTATTTTTTGGTCAATAATTTTCTTTTCTATAAACCCCCATCCACACCCTCATGTATAATGGAAGACGATAAACATTTTAGTATACATACCACCCGTTGTCACTTTCACCTGACATACAAACCACAAATTGTTATTTTTACCTGGACACGGGACTTATATAATTACGTAATAATAACGGATATAGTAAATTCAGTAGAATATAACCTGTATCATATATAATAAATTTTATTTTATTATTGTGTCACATACTGATTGAACATTATACAATGATATAATAAAAATATACATTAAAACAATCAGTACCCAGCCATAAGATTGGCTTATGAGACACATATCTACAAAACATTTCACATTTAAATATATGTAAATATAACATTTCCTAAAATTTGTTTTTTGTATCAACGCACTGGCTTGTTAAATGAATATTGATCTGACAACTGTTTATCATATTTTTAGTTATTTTAAAATTGAGAATGGAAATGATGAATATGTCAAAGAGACAACAACCCGAAAAGAGCAGATGACAGCCGAAGGCCACCATATTTGATAAGGTTTTAGTTTCTAATGAGACAGTAACCATCGTATTTTAAGAAAATCTCTAAACGGATAATGAGAGTTTAGCTACCTTGACTGGCTATACAGCCCAAGCACGGTCGGTCTCTAAAAGTTGCCGAATTTAAGAGCCTATATCAAGAGATAGGCTTTACCTAGATTAGGTGTTTAAAAAATATCCATTTAAGAACCAAATGTGGCTTCTTTATATTTATACCAAAATTGAGTTCAAGGCAGTATTTTGTCGAAGAGAACAATTACACAAAGTGCAACATGCGAGAAGAGGTTTCATTTCCCTTATTTATTTTTTATTGAAGTGAGTAATCTTTTGAGATTACTTCACGGAAATATATTTTAAATGAAAAGGTGCAACTGGATGCATCCCTAAAAAACAAATTTAAATGTATATATATATATATATATATATATATAATTTAAATTTGTTTGTTATATATATATATAAAATGACGAATATTCGTCAATCAGACAGCAATCCAACATTAACACGAGTAAGTTACCTGACATCTAGAATGAGAGGTTTAAGCATACCCCGCGCTGGTCAACTTTCTGAGTTGTGGGTAAAATTCAATATACATGTAGGACTGTGAAACGGGAAATATACGAAAGATTTGTTTTTACGTACGATGAAGTGTCATTCCCTCAATACATACGGGTCCACCGTGAAACTATTCTTATGATTATATAACGGTAAATGATGATCTCATTACAGGAACAAATTAAGTAAAGATACATGTTGAAGCAAGAATAATTTCCACATGCAAAACATCAAATAGGACGATCTCTAAATTAGTACGCGGCAACTTTAACTATTACATTCATAGACAATAACACTAGTAAATGCTTTATATACTGACATTGAAACAAATATACTGCTCATAATAATTGCACATCTGTAGACTTTAATCTAGGTATCCCGCGTTATAAACCATCGCAAACCATCGAACAGCTCATCGCACTTCGGCGCAGACAACCGCACTTCACGCGTGGCCATCAAACTTTATGATCTCCATTGAACCTCCGAGTCATACACACATATATATTCCGATTTTCTAATAATGGTTTTTATTATTTTAATTCCCGTAGGTATTGCCCAAAGAAATAGGGTTTATTCAAGGGTTTACACATCTTCATAGCTAAAATATTTTGACACTTATATCACGAACAGATATATATGACAAACATGTCTTAAATTGTCAGTATATAAATTTAGATTTTTTTTTTAAGAAACGTAGGTTTCAGCTACAGCAGACTAAATTGGCTTTTGATGGATTGAAGGCTTATGTAAAAATAAGAAAATGTGGTATAATTGCTAGTGAGTCAACTATTCAAGAAAGTTCAAATCAAGAGGAATGCTAGCAGTTATATCTATACGACCTTCAATAATGAAAAAATACGGGAACTGTAAAGTCGGTTATTAAAGGCCCCGCCCCGACATGAAAAAAATATGAAACAATTCAATTGAGCAAACTAACGGCCTTCTTTATTTCAAAGCTACATGTATCTTGCCACAAAAAAAGCCCAAATACATGTATATAACAGAATTGATGTTACGAAAACCACTGAACTACGTGCTTTTGACTTTGGACAGACACATAAATAGTACACAGAATGTTGTGAATGTGTATAGGCCCTTTATTGGTCATATAGCTCTACACTCCTATCTATTTTATACATTCTTTGGCTTTCAAATATTTAGCATTGAGCGTTCCTAGTGAAAGTAAATCCAGAAAAGCGTTATAGATGCATGAAATTTATAAAGTGTTGTTTTGTGAGGGGATCAAAACGTAGGGATCGATGTTAATGTCTGTTTTATATGTGCAATAATATCGGCCTTCTAACTTTAGTGAAACTCTGCAGTTGTTCAGTGACGGATCCAGGGGGAGGGTTCAGGGGGTTGGAACCCCCCTTTTTTTGGACTATCAATGCATTTGAATGGGGACATGTAGTTGGAACCCCCCTTTTTGCCCTGGGTTGGGAACCCCCTTTTTAAAATCGCTGGATCCGCCCCTGTTGTTTCATGTATTTGATATGCAAATTATCACAAAACTAAAAGGATAAGATGGATGAATTAATAGTTGATCGTTTAACGTCCAGTGGCATATATTATAGATTCATTATTAGGGGGAGTACACTAATTATGATATAATGATGAACATTGGCAATCATACCACAACTTCTTTTTTATAAGAACGTACATGTGTAGATTTTCGTCTTTTACTGTAAACGACAGTGTCCCCGGGAATCAAAGCCGAAATCAAACTTGTGTAAATTTCTGAAACATACATTTCATTATTTAACCCAATGTAAAGCAAAACAAATAATACCGTTTTGAGCTATAAAACCAAGGCAACCCTTTATACTAGTCAAAAGTTGCTGGATCGTGATAGATGCATACGAAACTTCAATTAATTGTTTGTATTTTTCAATCTTTTATATCCGATAAAGATGAACACAAAATCTATCGGATAAAAACTACCGATTTTTCTATAAGATAAAATTTATCCTTACTGGAGTCAAATTTGTCATATGGATTCATAAAGGACAAAAAAATGTCCTCAGTAACGGAACAAAAAATACCCCATGGTAAAATAATCCGTCATTCTTTAATACAAAGTACTATTGTGAATTATTTTTTCGGATATTAATCTTTTCGACATACATTAAAAACGGTGTCCTTGATATGCAACCATGAACACAATGAAAAGTGAATCTGTGAAAGCGTTCCATGTTTATTCCATTTAAATAAAGACTTATTATGATAATACAATATATTTAACTATTTTATCAAAAAAATTAAATAAAAAAGAATATCTTAAACTCGTAAACACAATTTCAAGTTTAAAAAGTTCCTCAATTTAATAAAATCCTTCTTAAGGAATACGGGATATATTTGCGTGATCTTATACTTGTTTAATTAAAAAAATGCCTTCCAATACATATGTTTATTTGTATTCAATTTTCCACAAAACATATTTAGCTTATTTTAAATGAAAATAAAGAACAGAGAATAAAAACACTGTTCAAGAGAAAATACATATTCGTGTTAAATTCGCCTCAGTTTAATTTGTTAATTCAAGTTTGACATCTAAAATCTTAATCCGCAATCCACATTTACCCGACAATCTTGTATAATGTATTTTCTCAATGGAATAACCTTACGTGCACGTGACCATCAGAAACGAAGACAAAAATTATATTTGTAATGGTATTTACCAAAACTTAAATGTTTGAATATTTAGTAGAATATGAATTTGCCAAATAAGCGAAGAATTATAATCTTGCATTGTTCAACATTGGAGAAATGACTCAAGTTGAACATTAATCATGTTAATACTGATTCAATATTTTATTATAGTCTCACCACATACAAACATAAAATGAGAATCACAGAAATAAACATAAAACATTAAAACATTTTCATTGTATGTACCAATCTTAAAAAGAATAATGAGAGACTTTTAAGACACAATATATTTACTCATTTACATTTAAAATTTACAGTGTCCACTTGTACTATATGAAAATAAAACATTTTTTCTTTGAGAACTAGGAAATAAAATGCCGTTTCTTTTCAATGAAATATTGTTGATGTTTTGGCAACTATAGCAGCAACATTGCCGTTATTAAATAAAAATATAAAATTAAAGGTTAAAATCTTCATTAAAATGTTTAGCTTAATGTATCATAATTTGTCTTAAATCTACATATAATGGGCATTTTAAAATGACATGAAGTTCATCTTCAATAGTAGAGCTACAACACATGTTATCTCGTGGACTTCTTTTCTTTCATACTTTCCAGTTTCTATTTTTAGTGGAACTACCCCACATCTAAATTTTGCAAAAGCACTGTTGTTTGTAATTGGCGGAATATTTTTTAGCAAATAACATTTGGCCAACAGTATATTTTTAAGCCCATTTCGCTCAGTTGAATAGAAATTCCAATTTTAACTGTAATGTCGTAGAAATGTCACCATGTTATTGTTTGTACGTAGAACATGTATCATTATATTAAAATGTGTCAGTCCCAGCCAAGATTCACTGAATAACCATGAAATGTTTACAGATGATAAATAAATTTTACACAAAAATTCATGAATCTGTATGAACGTTTTGTACGATGAAGTTAATTAAGTGTTCACAAGAAAGTAAGTATGAATGTAAATTTTATTTAAAGTCGGAACATATATATATACACTTTAACCGTGAGATAAAATATAAGCTTTGATAACCGTCTATCATATAAAAACCGCAATGAATGAACGTTACCCGCTTAGAGATGAACGTTTGACAAATGCACGTTATCTGATGTACACAGTTATACACGATTGACGAACGCACGATACACGGTTAAGAATGAATGATTGATGAACGCACGATACACGCACGATACACGCACGATACACGCACCATACACGATTAAGAATACACGATGCACGCACGTTACACGGAAAATACACGGAACGATGAATGATGAGCGCACGATTGGTACACGCACGATACACGCACGATACACGCACGCAACACGCACGATACACGATGAACGCACGGAATAATGGTCAGTTTGAATTTTAGAAGGTCTGTAGGTGTATGTACAGACCACCTAAATGCATTAATATGATTGTGATTATTATGCTAATATATCATGTACTTCTATCTTCCACCAACAAGATACTTCAAAAACAATTTGTGTTCCTACTCTCAACCAATCAATGGCTACATAATATACTGTATCTCTTCTCTACCATTCCGCCACAATGAGCATTCAATGAACATGATTTCACATGTGCCTCATAATGGATAATCAATAATAATGCAATATAAATTGTTCCTGTGCCATACAGTCAATATGTATCTATCTTCAACTAAAAGGTGACTATGTGTTCTTTAAGATCTTCAATAAATGATCATGCAACTGGTTCATATCTTTCTTCAATCATTATCATGGTAACAAACAATCCAATTCATTTACCTTCTTAGTGCAAGAAATGAAGTGTAACAGTGTTTCTTGAAGTCATGGAAATGATCAGAATTTGTTCCTCCCATGGCATCTACCATTTCTCTGCTTAGTCGCATTGGTGGTGGAAGAACCTTTGGATCACGTCCAAGTATATAACCAAAATCAACATGGAATAATTTTCCTAGAAATAAACGAAACAGTAAAATATAGCAACATGTTCAATTAAAATTAATAACCAAAAATCTAAATGGAATAATTTTCCTGGAAATAAATGAAACCAACCGTAAAAATATAACAGAGAATCTAAGTATTATACCAAAATCTACAAGGAATAATTTTCCTAGAAATAAACGAAACTAAAATATAGCAACACGTTCAATTAAATAACTAAAATCTACATGGAATAGTTTTTTTTCTGAAAATAAATAAAAGAAGCAGTAAAATATAACAGTTAATTGATTTCTAATCATTTTTTGTTTCATAATTAATTTAACATTAGGCAGGAATTACTTTGAACAATACCACAAGCATGTTTTCTTGAATCAGTCAACTCCATTTTGCAACAAGGATATTTAAGTATTTTTAATCTTTTTAAAAAATCAAGGATCTCCCTGTTCAAGTTTCTGCTTTATACTGTTTTGTTTTGTTTGAATAATAGATGAATGCAATACCCCAATAAGACAGCAACATAACAACACAAAAAAAGACCAAAAGGCGTCTAGACGTATATAAATGATCTTAGAAATATTGATATCCAATATAACACCATACTTTACCAGAAATTAAAAAAAAAATAAGCATTTCAATTTCCTATAATTTAATTTTGGATGTAACACGTCTTCTGATTGGCTGACGTTGTTTTGTTTATCAGCTCATAGACATAATTTTGTCATGTGACCGTGACGTCATTAACGTTTTTATATGGTTTACTCCGGTTTAAAATGGAATTTAGAATTAAATTATAAGAAATGACTGTAAAAAATTTTCTGTCTATTCGAAATAACATAAAAAATGTGGTGCAGACTTTAAAATAACCCACGACTCGGGTTATTCAGTGTGCACCACATTTTTGATGTTATTTCTTCATAGACAGAAAAAAAATTACAGTCATTCCTTAAATAATCACATTTAATCCCATACTTTTCATATTTTGTAATGCTTTGTTGTTGTGTTTACTTACCATTTTTTGTCAGAAGTAAATTATCTAAATGTCTGTCACCAACACCTAGTAAATATGTCACTACACAGTAACCAGCTGTAATAAAGATAAAAATGTTAACTATATATATATACTACACCTTTTCATTTTCCAGATCATAACTACTCTTAAGGAGTAATCATAGTTTACTGTATAGTTATTTGCAGTTACAAAGTTCACCAAGAATTGCTATTACCCATACAAAACGTTAGCTCAATTACACTCCTCTAGTAGAGAAAGCAATAACACATTGCTCAATTTCAAACCTGTGTCTTGTTGAGAAAGATTAAGATATTCTGTTCCACTATTGCAGGTGATATATGGTTTCCAACAAAGATTATAATTATAGCACTCTTTGAAATAGCTGGTAGGAATATATTATCTTATGAATCTTGTACTGAGTTTTTAATATTCTTAATCAATATTTGGGAATTGAAAAGTATGGTAATATTACAACTAGAACTAAAGTCTCTCGGATCAATTAGAAATTAGGAATCCCCAAACTGGGTGATATTTTTATAGCAAGTAGATTGTGTGTTATTCAACATTTTATTAATTTATATAAATATATAGGTACCAAAATGTGTACATGTGAAATTATAATATGTATGTATCATGGTTAATGCAAAAGTATAGATTTCATTAGTTTTAGAGGGAGTCTGTCAGCAATTTGATCTTATTCTATGGTAAATCATGACAAATGCAGGATATCTAGTTACTTTAATGATATATAGGTGTAAGTATTAAAAAAACTAATATTCCACTATATTGTATCAAATCCAATCATCATGATAAATGCAGGTAGTTTAAATATATGTAATTGAATGAAAACAAAGTAATGCTGTGAACCTTTTTTTTTTTTTGCAAAGTTTAAATTCTTAAATTTTTAATGTTTTTGCAAAATAAGCAAAGAAAGAAGCCTTCACTAAAAATTTCCCACCTTACGGTTTCTGATTCAGTATTAAAATGGTAAACATAAAATGTATCAATAAGACAGAAATTAGGTAACAATGATCTACTGTTTGGTCAAAAACTATGTTTCTTATTTAAAAGAAAATGTAACCTCAGGACCTTTATCATGAGGATCAATCTGATCCATGATTATTTTGCCTTTTTAAGACCAATTCTCTTCCAATACATGAAACTAGAAATTACCCGCGACATCACGGATCCGTGACAAAATTAAAGTACCTACGCCTTATTTTAAGCCTGAATTTTTAGTATTCATATTGTCATCTGAAAGTCGTGCGGATTATAAGGTGCATAGTTTTCTCTGCTATCAAATTCTTTCAGTTTGAACCCGTCCTGATTTTCTTACTACAACCGGAAAATTCATGTGACAAAGATTGAATTTAGTAGTATTAATCCCTGTATAATGACACAGTTCATGACCTCGTTATTTTAGTATAATAGATTTCGTGGGCAGTACGTCGACTGAGCATGCGAGAAAGCGAATAAAACACGGATCAATAACGGTCTTCGAATTTGGATATTTTCTCAAGAATTGGCGTTTTCTGTGCAAAAAAGATTGTTTCAAAGACAAATTTAGGAAGTACAAAACACTACATTTATACGTCATATCACAAATATTTCCGACTTTGTATGGTTTCAGAGGAGTTGCGGCTCAATGAAATCGGTCTCATCCTTTATCGCACCATGGATAAATTATCATGTTGTGATTAGTTTAAGGCCGTCACATGGTGACCCTCTGTTGATCTGTAGGGGGTTAGTAAATTTCATAAGGGGTTCATGACGTCATGTCTACTGTTAATGGTGACGTCATCTATTAATGTTGTTGTATTTCATTGTTTATTTTTCTACAAAACGCAGCAGAAAAGTCCAGCGTGCGATAAATTCGTTATACAGTTCACTACTGACCCCTTACAGACCATAGAGGGTGAATAAAATCCATAGGAAATTCGGCCTTCGGCCTCACCCCCTATGGATTTTACTAACCCTGTATGGATCTGTAGGGTGTCAGTAGCAAACCATATAACTTATATTAGTAGTATAGATACATAGCAACATCTTCAAATAAAGAGTGTCTACAGCACATAATTAAACCCTACCACAACTTTTAATATAGTTGTCAATGACCTCTGGTGAGATACCATAGGCTGCTCCTTCCATTGGAGCATGCTTCTTTAGAAAATTATGTAAAGTCCCATCTGTTGCTAATAGTTCTGCTAAAGGTAGGCATTCTTCAATCATCTGAACAAAACCTGTGTAAGAAAATGTATACATCTATAAAGAGTCTTCTATTTCTAAAATTTTTAAATCTCAATGTGAAAATATACTCATTATAGCTGTAGTGAAATTTTGGCATATATACTCTGGATTTGGTTGAACATTTTGAATATATCTGTGTTATAAATGATCACAGATATTTTCTAATTGTCATAGACAAAATCCCATCTTCCTTTCTGACATCATTTTATTAATTGATTTTTCCTTCTCACAAGCAAAACGGTTCTTGTTGATTAGAAATCAAGCTTTTTTGCTCCTTAATAAGATTTTTAGAAGTAATCAAAATTATATCTAACCACTTTTTCAAAGATATTACATCATTACACCAGTTTAACCCAATCTTCCCAATGTATATCTTCCTTGTTTAAAGAAAACAAAAGATCATTAGAGGACTTGTTGGTCCTTGGTCATTATTTACTGGCCATTAATAAGTTAATAATAAACTTGTTTTAGATTACTAGATTAAACAAATATATAATTCAAAAGGGGTCAAAGTCTCAAATAGCCAGATTCCATTATTTGGGACTAATCAATGTGAAAAGTTTATAGGGTAGTGCTATTACACCAAGGTGAAGAAGAATTTGAAAACTTGTACCCTTTTTCATAAATTTTGCTGAAAAATAACTTCGTTCCAGTCTGGAAAAATGACTGAAAATCCTGAAATAACTCCATAATAGCAGGTGCACCATTTTTGCATATATGCAATATTCATGGGAAGTTTAACGAATCGGGGTTGAAAACTGTAGGAGTTGATTTCACAGCCAGTCCTGCCACCCATCTACCCAACTTCCCCATGCTATTAGCTACTTTTGGACTCAACCCAGCCAAAAAATAATACTGCTGAATTACAGATAAATGCACAGCTTCACCTTCTAAAAGTTTAATAAAAATGCATCTATTGTCATGCTAAGGATATCCCCTCTATTAAATCAATGTATCTGAAACTGTGACAAAAATATTATTTCTTATTCAACACATTAAATTGTAAATATTGGCAAACAGTAAGGAGTTGTCTCACAGATCCAAAAAGCACTTGCATGTTACAATTTATTATTGTTAAAAGTTGATGACAAAATACAATGGCAAGGAAAAATAAAATTAAAGCTTTAAATTATTTTCAGTCAGTACATCACCATGTGAACATATTTTGGAAGCTATTACATTTAAAATATAAAGAAATGTCCCATAAGGAATACTTAAATTCAGCTGAAAAATATATGAAAAAAGTATGATACCATGTCATTCTCTTCTGTACAGTGAAGTTAAAAGTATGGGGAAACAAGATGCAGGTGTTTTACAGGGAAAAAATTCCACATACTTAGCAACTCATCTACTGGTATTTTAAGCTGCTGACCAAGTATGAATTTGTTCTGTAAAGTCAAATGGATGTACAGTGTGATTTCAAACTAGCAAACGCTTTTAACGTGGAGTATAATTATATAATTCACTTACCATGTTTGCTGCTTGTTGCTAATACTTTATATGGCGTTAGTTTTAAGTCTAAATTTTCTGTCTGAAGTAGCTGAAAATAATTATAAATAGTTCAGTTAGAATACAATTTGTCATGGAAGGCAAAAGATTACAGCTGGCAACTGCGGGAAACCTTAAACAAATTATGACCAGAACCATTCAGGACAAAGAATTTCAGACATTTTACATAAAGGATTTTAAGTAACAATTACAATAAGTCATTAATTTGATGAGACAACAGAAGGACAGACATACAGATATAAACCAGTGAACTCCATATTTTTTCAAACAGGGTTATAATAATTAATTATTTGATTGTTGTCTTCATAGTTTAAAATATTCCATACATATTCAGGACAATAAATGATGATCAAGGTAATTTTGTTTTTACTTAAAGAACTATATATATTAAGAGTTCAAATATTTTGTAACGTCATACCAGCAGACATTAGATGTAACAGCTTCAGCTAAAGATCATAGCAGCAATATACCGTAGCTACCCTTGTACTAATTTAAGTGCAATCCAACAAAATGATTTGTAGCCAAGTAAAGAATTTGAGTTAACTCCCTTTCAATGCATATCATCTGACATGGTAAAAAATAGCAAAGGGAAATTCCAATAATAATAGACAGCCATTTTCTTAAATTGGGAAGTGAAAGAAAAGATTATTTAAAACTAATGTAAAAGGTAATTCAGAAAAATATTAACAAAAACAAAACTTCTATATAGCTATTATGCATCAATATAGATTATTGTTTATTTAAGTGTATAATATGATTCATGTATAATAAAACTAAAAGTGAAAGTTAAAATACTTTGAAATATTAACACTAAAATAAAATCAATTTAACATTTAGTATTGATCTGCCAGTGAAACCCCAAAACAAGAGGCTCAATTGAACTTTATCTCACATTTGACATATACAGTTATATGACACTCAATAATAGTAGAATATATTGACTTAAAGGAAATTCCAATCACTATATATATTACTAAAAAGTTCTTTTAAGATTAAATAAGTAGATAGCATATAAATAAATATACCATTAAAGCTGGAATGTTTGTGCTACTTCATCATCACGACATATAGAAACATCTATATATTATTCTGACATAAAATTTAAACATGAATATATGGAAGAAAAGTCCAAAAAGTCGATGTGATGTCATGCCTTCACACAGTGAATTAAATGAAAACTCATCATTTAAGAATTTCAATAAATTCAGACATTATCAGAAACAAGAGTGGATTAAAATTGTTTTAAATACTAGTGGGTGTCAAGGTCATTTTAGACTGGACCTTTGTCCCTATACATAATGCATCAACTGATAAAACTAGGGGGTTAAATGACCTTAACTACCCACGAGGGTCTTGCACGGTAGGTTTTAACTGATAAAGGATCATTACTCAATTACGATTTGTAGTTGTTTAGAATATGACCTAAACAGAAAATTTGACCAAAGTCATTCATGCATAAAAATAAAGATTAAGGTGACCCAACACAATTCTTCAAATGACAAAATCATTTCTGTTTAACTGATGGTTTTTAAAGTCTAGACCTAACATAAAACTTAACTACAGACATTCCTGTGTTAAGTGAAGGCCAGTGTAATATAGTGTGAGTGTAGACCTTTACTAAATACATCATTCATTTATAATTTGTATTGCTTTGATCTGGACCTCGTTAAAAAACTTCAGCTAGAAGGATAAACAAACACATAAACAGACAAACCACAAATCACTATTTTCCCCTCCCTGACTTTGTTGGGTGAGGGGAGAATAAATAAATCAATATCAGTGATTGAGATTAACTTGTTAGTGCTATTTGGAACCATAGCTGGCAAATTTGTATATCTGATTACCATAACATTTCATGAAAATAAATATGTCTTTGTCTTCTTTTACTGGCCTCATATATAAGCACACTATGTTCATTCTAATATTTACATATTCCTTAAAAAACTGACAAGAAATTTTTCCAGTTTGGCCATGACACTTTTTGAATTTTGGATTGAGCACTTGAAATAAAATACCTTCCTATCAATTTATTATCAAATATAAGAATAATTTCAATTTCAAATGCCACTTTACAATCAATATAGCTTTAAAACAATTAAAAATTTGACTGTTGTATTCCTTTAAAAGCAGTCCCTAGCACCCATAAATCCTGGATCAGTACCAGTCGTCAAGTTCAAAACTTTCACATATTTTTAATGCTAAAAAAACACACAAAAAAACAAAAAGAAACACAAATACGAGCCAACTGACAGTAGCAAATTTCTTATTTACTGTACAAGGAGTAACTAAATTAATGGATATTAATGTCCATATCAACCTTTTCTTCTCCTTTAAATCCCATATATCACAACTACAGATTTATACTCATAAATAAGCATACTGTAAATAACAATAAATTGCTTCGCTGAGCGCAGCTGGATACGACCGCAGATGTCAAACCCTGAACAGTTGGGGAAAATATGGACACAATATTCACGCTTGATACAGGTCTGAATTTGGATTGTAATCAAATATTTCACACATACTAGGTTTCTGACACAGAATAACTGTAGTCAAAGAACTTATTTTTTGTGCAATACACTATGCTGTTGCGTATTGACCCAACCCCCCACCTCCCCCCCAAAAAAAACTTTTACCCTGCCCTTTTTTTTTTGCAAAAAAAAAAATAATAATATTTGAAGAAATTTTCTTTTTAATTTCTGAAATGAGAAAAAATAGTCCCCCCCACAATTTCTTAGTTACCCCCCCCCCCCCTTTTCCCTTTTTCCTAAATTTTTTTTCATTCCCTCAAGATATGGTCATAATCCCATTTCAAATTTCTAATGGAGTTTGCAACTATAATTACCCATTTAAATACATCATAAAAGTCTTCAAATAGAAATTGACATATGGCTAAAATTAATATTAATTAATAGTAACTTCTAATTAAATTGACAGCTAATCACCTCAAGACAGTACAAAATTTCTGTATACATAATTTACAAGCAGTGTAAGGGAGGTAATCCAAAATTGCACAACATTGTTCTTTAAATGTGATTGGAGAACCTCCCTTACACTGCTTTTAAATTGTCTTAATTGTCCACTAACCAGGAAACCCTTGTTTTTCCCCCTTTTTTTGCCCCTAATTTCCTAAATGGTTTGAGCCATAACCCCCCGAAGTCAATCCTAACCATCCCTTTGTGGTATGGAATCTTGTGGTATAATTTCAGAGATATTAATACACTTAAACACAAGTTATTGTCTGGAAACTAGAAAAATGCTTATTTTGACCCCTTTTGGGCCCCTAATTCCTAAACTGTTGGGACCATAACCCCCAGAATCAATCCCAACCTTTCTTTTGTGGTTTCAAACCTTGTGTTTAAATTTCATAAAGATCCATTCACTTAAACTAAAGTTATTGTCCGGAAACCAAGTGTCTTCGGACGACGACAACAACGTGATACCAATATACGTCGTATAAAAAATAGTAATTGCAATACCACAC